CCTGCTCCCTACAATTTTCCATAAGTGGGTACTCAAACAGTTGCAGCACGCCAGTTGGTTACAGAGCATCGTGAGCCTCCAGGCTCTTTCCTCGAAGCAAAGGGGCTGCACTGTACAGTTGAGCCCAGGGCTGAGGCGGTTGCGCCCTGGGCACACGCTATGTGAGGCTGACGCATATCAAGACTGGTTACGGGCCAATGAGCAAGCAGCATTGTCGTCACACATGTGCCGCGAGCCAATGAGAATGCTACCAACACTTGCAGCCTGGACGGCTACCTTTAGGTGCCCAACAAAAAAGGGCCCAGGCCCTTAACTGTAGAAGTTGGCCCGGGCGCAGACACTGGGGCCCAACTGGAAGCTACTGGAAACTTCCCCAGCCAGGCCCACGCGGACACAGCAGGGGCTGCACAGCCCAGGGGAGGGCATTCTGGCCTAGGCAAGCAATCCGGACACGCTGCAGCGTTGCTGCGCAAGTGTAGTGTCTGCATGGGCGCTGCTGGTCGGACGCGCGCACGGGCGCAGTGGTGAGAGGGGTGCTGCTGAGGCAGCAGGCGCACTACAGCCATAGCCGGGCAGCTGGGGCGCAGGGCAGGTGATGGCGAAGGTGGTCTTCGGGTAGGAGGCGCATGAGGTGGGGAGACGAGGGGTGATCAGGGGAGGAGAGAGAACGTACCTGTTGTATGCTGCTGGTCGGCATTGGTGTTGACGTCACGTACTTTTTGGTCTTCGACTTCAGAGTGAACCAGTTGCAAGAACGTAGATAGGCTAGACAGGCTGAGTAGGATAGGCTGGGCGCTGGGCGCTGGGCGCTGGGCGCCAGACATTAAGTGCGACATTGGATACAGTGTTGGTGTAACCCGAGAGTGGCGACATTGACATTCAAATTCATTGTATTGCTCTTATTTGTATGGTATCTTGGTGCATTGAGCTCTCTGCTTGGTTCATGACTATCTGAGCTACTTCGTGATTTTGCAACTTGGTTTTCTGTCGATCGATGTAGCTCATATTCCTTGCATATATGTGAAGGGAGGTGAAAAAGGGAAAGCAAACCGAAGGGGCTGGAGGAGGGGAGGGAGGGAGGGAGGGAGGGAGGGAGGGAGGGAGGGGGGGGCGGGGGGAAGGGAAGGTAGGAAATCAAGTGCGCAAGCTGAAGGGAGTTAGACCAGTAAGAGCAGTACACTGTTTCGGGTGAACTGGGGGGGGGTCAATAGAAAGTAGAGAAAGAAACAAATGTGAATGAATATAATAAAATAAAAGGAAGAGAAATGAATGCAATGAGTGGGTTGCGTGTGGTGTGTGGTGTGTGGGAGAGTGTTGGACATAGACAATGCTGCTACTTTTAGCAGCTAGTGACAAAATGCGATGGGGGATGGGGGAAGTAGATGGGAGGCGCAGCTAGTGGCAAAATGCGCGGTCTTTGCGTTAGCTGGACCCAACCCCCACCAGCGGGCCCACCCTACTCCCTGACCAGGGCCTGTTAGGGCAGGGGGCAACATGCATCCCCTTAATTGTGAGAGGTAGCTATGTTTGCAGGGGTCCCCTGTATAGGGGCTCTGGAGTAGTGGTAGGTAGATAGTGAAATGTGAAATTGAGAGCATTTTTTTTTTAATAAGGAGAAAGAATAATGAGAAAAGGTAGAGGAAAGTGAAGGTGAAGATGCAGGTGAAACAAAAAANAAAAAAAAAAAAAAAAAAAAAAAAAAAAAAAAAAAGAGGAAATAGGACGCTGGAGCCGTTTTCCAGCAGGTGAAGCTCCCCACCAATGGATGGAGCTTCCCCGGGTGTAAAAAAGAAAATCCAAACTGCCAAATAACAAAGAGAAAGAAAAAGAAAAAGGTAAAAGCAGGTTCTAAATTTTTTTATTTTTTTTTTAACAGGTTCTAAAATTAACTGCCAAAACGAATTTGTTTCTTTAAAAATAAGAAGGGGGGGGGGAGGGATAATTAGGGGTTATTAATTAGAGTAATAGTAATCAGAGCAGTTGATTGAAATTAGGGGATATTAATTGGTGACGATATTGTTGTTGTTTTTTTTCTTTTTTTCTTTTTGTGACGATATTGGTTAGTTATTAGGTAGTTGGGAACATTCTTGCTTACTAAGTTGAGTAGCTGCTGATTCGAATTTCCTTTAAACTGTGCTTGCTTTTTGTTGGCTACCGTCTTCACCCGAATAGAACGCCCAGTCATTATAGCTGCATTTGGCCCAACTTTCAGTCCAGATGCAGCCATAATGACCGGCCGTTCTATTTGGGTGAAGATGGTAGTTCGAGGCTGAGATTATTAGAAATTTGGTTTTGTGTTCTACTAGGATTTAATTAGGGTATGTTCCAAAATTAGCAATGAATTAGGGTAATATGGCTCGAGGTGTTTTGGGGGTTTTGGGGGTTTTGGGGGTTTTGTGGCTAGTAGTTAGGATCTGAGCAATTTTGAATTTTGATTGAATTGTAGGCTGCAGTCTGGGATGGGATTGGTCAGGAGTGCTTTTCCCACCCCCATATGGCTGCGGCTCACATGTCAGGGGTGCCATAGCCGTTTTCCGGCATATAATGGAATGGTCGCCTATACACATCTAGATGTGTATAAGAGAGCTCACATGTCAGGGGTGCCATAGCCGTTTTCCGGCATATAATGGAATGGTCGCCTTTCAAAAAAAAAAAAAAAAAAAAAAGGAGGGGGGGGGGAAGAAATAGTGATGTGTAAAGTAAAAGGGAAAGAGAAAAGAAAACAGGTAAAAGAAGAGGTTTTTTAATGTTTCGTTTTGGGAGAAGAAGAGGATTTAACTGCCAAATAACAAAAAAGGTGAAAGAAGGTTTATCTTCCTAATTTCAGCAAAAAAAAAGGAAAAAACCTTCTTTTTTCTTTTTCTTTTTTTTTGATAAATTTGAATGATCAGATCTCACCTTCCAGTCTGTGAAGATGGAGTCATGAAGTACTTTGCGATAAGCTTCTCTGACAAGCCGCAAGCTCGGCGCGCTCTGTCCGACAGCAGCCGTAGTTGCAGTAGCACGTGAGCTCCATTTCGGTGTGTGTCCCGACCAGCGAGAAAGGAAAGAATCTGACCCGTTGATTGGCTTTGGGACAGATTGAGCTAGAGGAGCTTCTCCTCCCTCTCCTCCCTCTCCTCCTTCTCTGTCGGCTCCCTCTCCTCCCTCTCCTCCCTCTCCTCCCTCTCTTCCAGGGTTGCCAGTTTGATTACAGACCGATTTGGGAGTGGACATAACTGATACAGCGCGGTCATCTGTACTCTTCCTCCTGCTCCGCCTCCTCGTTGGAGTCTCCGTTTGCGCCAAGCTAATGGTCTCCGTTTGCGAGCGTGGATGGGCTGTCTCCTGTGCATCATCGCTGCTAACGGTAGGCCGTTGCGCGCCAAGCTCTACTCCTCCTGCTTCCTCCTTTTGTCTATTCCGCGCGCGATAAGCCTTGCGATTCCCGCCTACTACTCGCCTGCCGGCCGCGGCCGGAGCTTCTGCGACAGTGTCGGGCGCAGCGCGCGCGCGCACGCGCGCGCTTCGGCAGTCCGCAGCTCGTGCTGACGTGGCATCCCCTCCGCTGCCCCCAGCTTCAATTACCCTCCTCTCACATTCTTTCTCTCCATCGTCATCGTTGTCTTTTCCCGCCGTCACCCGCTTCGATCCCACGGGCTTCAACTGTACCGCGCCCATCGCCAACGGCCTTAGCGAAGCGACAACGGCCTCGACTTTTGCCCCCTCCTCCTCCTCCTCCTCCTCCTCCGCTTTCCCTTCCTCTTCCTCTGTCTCGTACTGTTGATGCTGATCCTCCGCTCTCAAAGGTGCAATTTTGATGACGTCGACACCCGTAAACGACCTATCAGAAGCACGGAGAACATCGTCCAACATTTTTACCTTCTTCTTCTTCTCCTCCTCCTCTCCATCCTCCTCCTCTGCCTCCTCCTCCTCCTCTCCATCTTCCTCTCTACCCTCCCCCTCCTTCTGTAGCTTCGTCAGCAGATCTTTCCTTGTCGTGCTGTGCCGCACCCCTACCCGCGATGGTGCGTGACGACCGGTCGCTCGTGCAGTCGCCGACCGAAGCCGCAAAGCGATCGACTCCTCTGGCCTAGCGATGGCGCGCCGTCTGGGTCTCTCGACTTCCACAAAGTCTTCGTCCTCCTCCTCCTCCTCCTCCTCCTCCTCCTCCTCCTCCTCCTCCTCCCCCTCCTCCTCCTCTTTCTCCTCTTTCTCCTTCTCCTTCACCCTCTGCCGCTGTGGATTTGCCTCATTTTCTTGCTTGTTTTGTGTATCTGGTGACGACCGGTCGGCGGCGGCGCAGCGGCCTCGCATCGCACGCGAAAGACCAGTTTTGTCACTCACCGCCTTCTTGACGGGGGGGCTCTGTCGCACACTTGTCACGCTGTGGTCTACCGTAGGGCGCTCGTAAATGTTCTCATTCCACGTCGGAATTTCCCGTTCGCGTCGCACACGTGGAGTACGAGTAGTGGGGCTCTGTCGCACACTTGTCACGCTTTCATCAGCCTCGGCAAGTCTCTGCTCGCGTCGCACACGCGGACTGCCCTCAGCGATGGCAGCATGAGGCTGCACCTGCTTGACCGACCTTCCTCCGCCAGCTCTAACGACCGGTCGTTGCGCGGGGGACTTCCATTGCCCGCCCCCGGTCGCGGGTGAGCACACAGGCGGGAGGCGACGGCGGGAGGAGGGGACAGGACTCCCCTTCAAATCCCCGTCGCCTCCGCCTACTCCTCCTTCCATACTCTAATGGCCTCACTGCAATACTGTCCACAAACGTGCTAAATCCCGACTGTATCTTCACCCAGAACGTGGAAACATACAGACGTCATTTTCTTTGTTGTCCTTTCCACATTTAGCCACTGCCGCTGGAGCGAGGCCTCATAATTTGTACGGAATAGGAATATACCCGCGGAGGTGGTGAGGGGATTGCCGCGACGTACGTACGTTGCGGTGATCGACACTACTGGTGAATTTTCGGTACAATTATTGAAACTGCACAGCATAAAGAATCAATCACAACCACAAAAAAGAAGTCAATCACAACGGAAAGAGAGAAAAAAAAAAAAAAATCTCAGTGACAAGAACAAGTGCAGGAAAAGCGAAAAATATATATATATATACATACTGGGCAGCTCTGTTTGACTATATATATATATCGTCACAAACAGATATATATATATGTATAGGGTCACCAGCCACGGGTACGTATGGAGGTCCCCGGGCCGACCTCCGTACGTACGGGCGTTTGGGGTCCCGTTCGGGGTCCGGACCCGATGTTGTTTGGCCCCCGCCAAAAATTATTTCGGGGCCTAAAATTATTATTTTTTTCTTATGTGTTTTCTGTGATTTCAGTTATATGCCAAAAACATTTGTAGACATTTTGCTAAGCCAAAAATAAAAAAAAAAAAAAAAAAAAAAAGCCAAAGATGGCAGTGTCAAAACATGCTCACCCACCTACTTTTTTTTTTTTCACTTTTTACTTTTCGTTTTCACTTTTTTGCGGGGAACTAAACGATTTTATTATTTTTTTAAACATTTTTAATGTTTTTTTCTTTTTTTTCTTTTTTTTTACACAGAAACAGTAGTTTTATCAGGGCCCAGTGCCCAAGGCAGAAATCCAATGTCAAAGAACTGCATATTCAGGGGTCGCAAGGTCTCCAAACCCGCTTCATGGGGTGGAGCTCCTCCCTTGTAGAAAAACCATTGTCTTCCTAAAGAAAACACTACCAAATCCCCGATACCCGCTTTCCTAAAACACCGCAGCGAAAATCCTCATTAGGGTTTCAATTAAATTCTAAAACCAAAGCACTACAAATTTCATAAAGAACACCACAACAAAATTCCTAATTAAGTCAGAAGTCCCAATACTCATCCTAGCCCTAAAGAACGTGAAAATTCCTAAATTATACGTTAAACAGTTTGTATTTATTGCCTAAAGCGGCAATCGTAATTCCAATACACCATCATATGAAAACACTTTTAGAAAAAGACAGATGAAAATTCGAACTAAGACCTACCCTAAGAAAGGAAATTAACAGGAAAAAAAACAAAGCAGCAGCTCCACTATTAACAGGAAGAGAATCAGTGACAAAAAAGTTAAAAATCCAAAGTCTATTAACCTCATAAGATGAAACAAAATGTCAAGACCCCTCGTCTTCAGCAAATCAGCACATGGCTTTCCTTGGCAAAGGAGCAAGACGTGCGACAAACCATAATTCCCCCGGCCAAGCGACTCAGCATACACGAAACCCAATCCGTGCTAATCAAGGAAGCTCACAGCCGTCTCGATGGAAAAACCTTGGTAGTATCCATGTGTTGTTGAGAAATAAAGCTCCAAATCTGAGATCAGTTGCACCACTCGTCCTCAGCAAGTCAGCACATAGTTTTCCTTGGCAAAGGAACAAGACATACGGGAAACCACAATTCCCCTGCCAAGCGACTCAGCATACAGGAAACCCAATCCGTGCTAATAAAGGACTCACAACTGTCTCGATGGAAAGAAAAACTTTGGCAACATCAATATGCTATTGAAAAATAAAGCTCCATATCTGAGACCAGCAGCGCCAATCGCGCCCTGATCTTGGTTGCATATAGCGTATAACAGGAGAGATGCACCAACACTCCAAGTATCCATTTATCACACACCCACCGCCAACAGGCACTCCTTGCGTTTTGTATTATGTGAAATACACATCTGTAAATTTTTAGGGCATTTGGCTATGCCAAAAAAAAATGAAAAATCGCCAAAGATGGTGAAGTCGAAAATGTGCTCGCTCACTCACTAATCTTAATTCTCTTTTCATTTTTTCTTATTTTTCTTATTATATTTTACTTTTTGCATTTTATCTTTTATTTCAAATTTGGTAAGGAATTTGGATGTAATTTTTTATTGTTCTTTATAACATAGATTTTTTTCAATTTTTTTTTTTTTTGCCTTTTTTCTTTTTGGTCCACGTTCGGTCCAAACGGCCGAACGGATCCCCAAGCTCCCGTACTTCCGGGCGTTCGGCCCGTCCCGAACGCTGGTTACCCTGTGTATATATATATCGTCAAATAGAACTGCCCGGTAAACCGTAGGCAGAGAGGGAGAAGAGGACAACAAACGAGGGGCTGTGACAAACTGTTTCGTCGGAGTTTCACCGACTCATCAGGAGGCTATATATATATATATATCTATTTGACGATATATATATATATATATGGTTCAGCCTCCTGATGAGTCGGTGAAACTCCGACGAAACAGTTTGTCACAGCCCCTCATTTGTTGTCCTCTTCTCTCTCTCTGCCTACGGTTTACCGGGCAATTCTGTTTGTGACGATATATATATCTATACATATATATATATACTTGAAGAAGGCTCTATTTCTTTCTTTTCTATTTGTGACGATATATATGTATGTTATGACCTGTCATCACACGGACTGAAACAGACAGCCGATTTCTGAGTCTTGCCGTGGAATGCATGCCATACTAAGTTCCCCCGCCTGCTAAGTCTGCTTGTGTGTGTGTGTGCTGGA